TTTTGTTCTTCGTTACTACTATTCCTTTGTCTCACACCTCTGTTTACTGTCTCTATTATGCCTTTCTTGTACTCTCTTCTGTTGCTTTGTGTGCTACATGGAGTGTGGCGACTTGAACTGTCGCACATATGTGTAAAGTTCTATGTCGAAAACAGACAGACAGAATTCTCTGTTTTGATGAATATCTAGTGATAAAGCTAATCAATGAGTCGGTGAAAAGCACTAAATATATATAAATATATCTTCAAATTAGGCATTGAGCAGTTCATCTACAGTAGAAATGTATTCATTTCCAGGCAAGCAATGATAACTGAAGAACTACTTCAATAGAGGTCAAATATAACACGAAAAATATGTAAATTTTGTTAAAACTGAGTCGATTCCCAGGTTCACTTGCTCGAGATACATTAAGAATCAGCGGTTAGAGAATAATCGTGTAAATTGCTCATACTGATTCAGAGTATATCAGATTCTTATTTATCGTAGCGAAAGACAAGAAACAAATTCACATTGCCTTCCACCACCACAACAAAACTGAGCATGCACGAAATAAAGCGTTGTAGGCCAACAGACCAAACCATTCCATTCTTGGAAAACAACAGCGCTAATGCTGATAACTAATTAAGAGAAAGTACAAAGATTCATTATCATGACGCATCAATTCAATTTTCTTCTCCTGAGAATCATTCAGACAACCGGTCCAGAAAAGATATTTCATCCTCGACGAAGCCATCAACTAGGCTTTACACTCGAGTATTCATAGTAAATGTGTGAGAAATTCTCAGGATTATTTCAGGTCAAAGGTTAAATTAACAAAATACAAAGTGTAATAATCAGGAAGATCGGACAGAAAAGACATAATAAGGTCATAATGACTGAAAAGCTTGACTGTTTGTGCAATTACGAATAAAGGACGTAGCAATAACAAAATAGGTAAGAAGTTCGGATATGTTAAAAGAAACAAAAAACAAATCCAGTAATGCAAATAGGAACTACAGACTTAAAAATAACAGAGATAAACAACAAGGTTGGATACGAATGGTAATAGGATAATCATCATTGGTTGGACTGACTTTTGATGACAGCCACCGTAGGGACAACGGTTGGACATATTTCTTTTGAACACATAGTGTGGGCTTGAGCTTCTGAATCACCAGTGCCGCAGTTACTTCCAGATGCCTTGATTTCACCCCCTTTGATAGGTTTGGTTGGATCCTGTCCATGATTTTAAAGGACTTGTCAAATGGAGCAGAATGTCCTGAATTCACCAGATTTTCTGTCCCCGAATTGTATACCCCCTTGCATTCTCCCTTTGCTAACAATGCTCGATAGTGATCCTGCGCGCGTTTTACAAGCGGACACTTGGCACGGCCAAGGTATATGATGAAGCGAGGTTGTGTGAATCGTGGATTGGAGATGGGTCTCGTTACCACGAGGCATGTTAGGATGTCTCCTATGCGCAAGAGTCCTAATAAGATGTTCTTGATTTTATAGCCTCAGGGAGATGCCAAAGGATACGATCTGTTTCGGTCGTTACGAAAAAGAATCCGAACAGAGAGTAGGGAAGGCGCTGTCTACAGTGACTGACTTTGCTTCCATTGAAATAAGCTCTATGCCTCTCGCGGTCCTAATATTGGCAACAATATTAGAGGTTGTTATGAAACGACATGGGTAAACACTCGAAATATACAATTCCAGTTTGACAACAAAATGTATCACTAGGTTGATGGTGTGGTGATGGGGAGTCCACTGGGTCCGATATTACCTGATATTTTTATGGCCAGTCTGGAACAGACAAAGCTCAAGTGTGCAATCGACAAAACAACAGCCTACTATAGATACGTCGATGACACATTCATTGTATGCAATGATTTGAGTCACGCTTCGTCTCTATTAGACTCATTCAACAATGTACACAAAAGCATTACTTTCACGATGGAACATGAAGATGATGAAAAATTCCATTTTTTGGACGTAAAGTTGAAGAGAAAATACGACGGGACACTTGAAAGATCTGTATATCGTAAAGACATATGGAGTGGTCTTTACTTGAATTTCAACAGCTTCTGCCCAGTGAGATACAAACGAACGCTGGTGAAAACGCTTTTCTCTCTCTCATCAAACTCGACTACAAGGGCGACGACATTATGAGAACGGTAAATAAAAGATTAAGCGCAGTCCTGTCTAGGACGTGTCCTGCAGCATTATTAGTCTCTCTACTCCGAACAACCTCCTCACTGGTGCAGTCAAAGATCGACAAGTACCCCTCACATGTTACCTCCAACTGTGTATACCAATTCACATGTATCTGCGGGAGCAGTTACATTGGAAGAACAGAGAGGAGGGCCTACGTCAGATTCTGCGAACATGTACCAAGGACCCATTATGGATAACTATTGCTCATAATCATATCACTTGATATGATTATGAGCAATAGTTTGTGCTCGAAACGTCATCAGTTAATATAACTGTACAACACTGTGTGATTTATCGAAATAAAATCTTATCCATAATGGACTTATACTCTACCACAGTGCCCAAGTTTTATACTTATATCAATGTACCAAGGAGCCTCCGGTCAAAGGGACCGAATTGTTTAAGCTCTTCTATCGCCAAACACCTGATTGACACAGGACACCGAGTAGACGTGCTGGAATCATTCAAAATAATTAACAGGCAAAGTACCTCAAGTCTTCTCAGGTTTGCTGAAGCTATAGTGTTAAAACAATTGAAGACCTGACTTATGTGTCCAAAAAGAATCCGTTGTTGGACTTCAATTACACTATTGACTCACTTCTTAGTAACTCTTTGTTTTCTAATTTTGTTAACTTATCTTTTCACTCCCTCCCCCTATATTTTTCGCTTGACTCTCTTAAGAGATAATTTTTCTTGATCTTCTGAGTTCTGATCACTCTATTACATCATCAACTCTCATCTGACTTCATGTGCACTGAAATTGTAGAATTTTGATCTTCTCTAATCTAATTACGCAACTATTACTGATTTTTTTTGTTACCACGCGAACAACACAACTGTTAATTAGTTTTTTTAAGAAACTTCTCTAACAAGATATATATATATAACACTTTTGACACCTTGTAAATCGCAACGCCTTATTTCACTATGACTCTCTGACAATATGTTTGCTAATCGACAACACATTCAGGCTGTACGCAACTGATGAGAACCGACGAAATAAAATGGACCCAGATTATTCTGCGCCAAAATTTCTTCTTTCTTTGTTCAAATTTATTAAAGAGAATCATTGTATGAAAATCTGTAAGTACTCTCTCCGAGATACTCTTAAATTTATTGAATGAATTAAAGATCTCAATGTAAATAGCAAACGAATGTTATCACTGACGCAGAATCTGTATTTACGAATGTGCCACTCGCAGAAACAATTTGTTTACTTTGTAAATATATGGATGACAGGAATCTGAGCATCGGAATACCAACCTCACATTTGAACGAGTTGTTGTACCAAGGTGCACATTTAGTGTACAATTAAGTTTCAACGACGATATCTACAGAAGATAGATGGGATTGCTTTGGGCTCTCCCCTTGTCCCACTTTTGGTAGACTGCTTCATGGCCAGCTTAGAAAATGGGATCTTAAAGTCAACAATTAACGAATTTCTGCTGTACAAAAGGTACGTCGATGACACTTTTATAGTTTGTCGTGATAATTTGATTAAAATCGTATCTTAAAGGAGCTGATACTTAACCTCGAATTTAAAATTGATACAGAAGCAGAACTTCTCCATGGATGGCTTTCAAAGTCTCTCAGTAAAACATGCTTCGTCGCCAGCCTACGTGTAACATTCTCCTGAAAGAAACCATTCAACCAGCACGTGAAAGACAGGCTGTCGCATTGAGCCCCTTCAACATGCATATACGAATTCACTTGGTCGTGTGGAGTCGAGTACATTGGCCGTGCCAAGTGTCCGCTTGTAAAACGCGCGCAGGATCACTATCGAGCATTGTTAGCAAAGGGAGAATGCAAGGGGGTATACAATTCGGGGACAGAAAATCTGGTGAATTCAGGACATTCTGCTCCATTTGACAAGTCCTTTAAAATCATGGACAGGATCCAACCAAACCTATCAAAGGGGGTGAAATCAAGGCATCTGGAAGTAACTGCGGCACTGGTGATTCAGAAGCTCAAGCCCACACTATGTGTTCAAAAGAAATATGTCCAACCGTTGTCCCTACGGTGGCTGTCATCAAAAGTCAGTCCAACCAATAATGAATCACTGTTTTACTAATTCCTGTGACTTTTGTGTACATTCGGTTGTTTTATGCTCTATGAATTTACAGTAAATCAACATCGTCAACGAGTTTCAATTTAGTGAAGTGATGAACTTCCTCAGAAAATGTAATTGCAATTTGTTGGTTACTAACATCGAATCAGGGAAACATATCAGACGTTCAAGATATCTACTACAGAACCAGTTTATAATGAAGAATCGGTTAGAATCAAGTTGTTAAAGTCATGGTATCTTAATAAAACCCCGTAAGGAAACCCGATACATTCTGAGGAGACTGTTGTGTGAAATGATGCGTGAAACATTAATTTAGGTGGGACCTGAAAGGAAACGACGAGTGGGGCGTCGCCTGAATGATGAAATGTAGGAAGTGGTGAAGGATTATAAGCAATTGCGGAGTCAGCTAGAAAGGACTGTAGGAAACAGGAGGAAATGGAGATGTTGTGTTGAAGTCTGATGTTCCACATGTAATCCAAAGGAATAATGTAATAGTCATGAAAGCATGACATTCACCGAAAAGAGGTCACTGGTAAGTCTTTGTCTAAGAAAAAAATCTGTTTTAAGACCAAATGATTACCAACTTTGTAGCTGTGTGGTTTGAATATGTTTTTAATCTTCACTTCTAAGTAATTCACTTATATTAGAGGTTTTAATGACGAAAACTTTGTGATTTTATGAGTGTCAATAATGATTACGTTATGTATTTCAAGAAATTCACACATTTATAACTTACTAGATTGGCTGCCGAAAACATTCATGATTGCACTTCCAAAGAGGCCAGTCTGTTGTTGTTGTTGTTGAGATCCGCCGACATTTTGAGAGAAGCGACGGAGAGAACGCTTAGGAGATCTAAAGCACAAATATGTGAATGAATAAAAGAACAAAATAGACTATTAGCTCACCACGTCATCAACAGTTAGAGTGAATCAGAAGGACTATAGTCTTTCAATAGGCATGAGTATTATAGAAATCAGAGAACACTTCAACCAACTAGGACTAGTCATAACATCTATCTTAGTGATTAGATCCGTGCTTGAACTAGGCAAAATGATACTGACCTTGCATGGGCGAAGTCATACATGCTGAGAGAACACAACGCACTAATCAAGGCGCTCTACTCGAACTCATGCAGCCAGGTTAGAGCCTGTGGAGAGTTGTCACCTGAAGCACTGACAACCAGTGGAGTCCGACAGGAATGCCCACTATCCCATTTCTATTCAGTTTCATCATGGATGTACTAATGGACTTAACCCTAACTCACTTCAGAGACTAAGGGATTGACTTGTTACCAGGGAATAATCTCGTTGGTTTAGAACATGAAGATGATATAATCCTTCTAGGTGAAGACTCTGACAAAATGCAGAGCTTTTTGAACACCTTCAGCAGCAACCTTATAATATTTGGTATGCGATCACCTGACGTTAAATGTAAAATGATGCTACGGGACTGGACTACATTGGCTCCTAGTTTAAAGATAGGGAGTTAAGTGGTATAGAGAGCTGAACACTTCACTTATCTGGGAAGTTGAATCAGCAAACGCCAGCGGCTTGATCGCTGACGAAATCTCAGCACGGTATATGCCTGCCAACTTACGTCACCTCTGGCGCAGACGCGGTATTCGACTACATAGCTCAGCAGTACGCTCGGTCCTTCTTTATGGCTGTGAGACATGGCCATTGAAAGTAGAGGATATGAAAAGAATAGCTATCTTCGATCGTATGTATATGTGTAAAACTTGAGCACTGTGGTAGTAAGTAATACCATATTAGTTTGTTTATTAGATGTATCACACAGTGAAACAGTATTATTTACTGGATGACGTTTCGAACAAAATTTATTGTTCATAATCATATCATTGACAATTGATATGATTATGAACAGTAAATTTTGTTCGAAACGTCGTCCAGTAAATAATACTGTTTCGATCGTATGTGTCTGAATTATAACTCCTGTGTAAGATGGTATAATAAGGTGAACGATTTTGAGGTTAAGCGTCGAGTGGTAGGTAGGGAGGAAAAATCAACCGACAAAGCTGTGAGGCAGCTGCATCGATTGAGATGGTTAGGACATGTGTTACACATGCCTAGCCATCGATTTCCTAAGCAACAAGCAATATTGGCTGACATAGGGTCAGGTTGGAAAACAGCCAGTGGTGGTCAAACCAAAACATGGCTTCATCACTCAATGAAACCCACAGTAGTCAGTTTAAACCATGTAGGGACTTCCTGAATGGGATCTTCACGATGGTAGGAACGAATGGCTGGAGACGATCGGTGATATGGCTTAAAATCGTTCTCAATGGCTGGCGCAGATGCATGCACTCTTCGTGGTTTTTAATGTCCAGTAAAATTCTGGTGTTTTTCCATACTATTATTCGTTTTGCGTTACATTTCTGTTTGCTATCTCTCTTTACTCTCCTCTCTTGTTTGTGCTACTCGAACTGTTGCACATCTGTGCAACGTTCTGCGCTGAAACCAGTCAGTCAGTATACATATTAGCTACACAGTTATCCTTTAAAGTATTCCACCCAAAGTGCTAACCTTCAGTTCACAAAAAAATCAGTGAAATACTTTGCAAATCACACTGGTTATCACCTTATTTGAGTTAATTTCTTTAATAAATATAAAATTCATTCAATTGATACCTAATTTATGTTTGTTTTTTATTATTATTTCTTTTGTTATTTATGACTGTTCATCTTCATTGAGAATAACCCCAGTCAATGCAATTTAACTCTCAATGAGCTGCCCACAGTTGCCTTAAGGTAAGTTGTGATAAATCTTTCGGAATGAGTTCACTTCAAGAATGCTCTAGAAGTCAAGATGAAACGAATCATGACTCAATAAAATCTCGTATTCCAAATGATTGTCTTCCAAAAAAATTGTTTAACCAATTTCTTCCAAAATAAGCACTTTTTTTGTGGCGAAAAAAGCAAAGAATCTCCACAGCTCAACCTGTTCATGTACATACATGAATGTATGTTCGAATTAGTATTACATCAGTGTTAAGGCGTGCCAGCTAAACTGCGTATTAGCTTCTCCTATATTCCTCTTTAACACACGTTATTTTAGAAAATATTCTAAAAATCTGTCTCCTTTTCAGTTGGCGTAATGCCGCTAATTGGTTAGAACTGATTATAAAAAATAGATTATAAGAGCATATCACCATTATTAATCTGTCAGTGTACGTTTCTCGACTTCACTTCTGCTTTCAACTCTGTACCTAGATGTCTCTTGCTAAATAAGCTTTCGATGACACAAACTGAGTCCTGGGTTACCAACTGGTTGCATTCTTACTTCTCTAACAGAATGCAGTATACCGTATACGAAGACAAATCCTCCTCTGCTGTGGTCACTGAAGCTGGCGTCCCCAAAGGTGCTGTACTCTCCCCACTTCTCTTTTCTTTCTTTCTACACGACCTACCATCTTCAAATGACATTAATTTTGTCAAATATGCTGATGACCTAACTATATCTTTGCCTGTCAAATGTCAAAGTGACTGCTCTAAACTAAACGGCTTTTTATCAGAAGTCAGCCAGTGATCCAAGGAAAACGGTCTAACCTTAGATCACTCTAAATGCCAAACAGTCAGTTTCACCTTTAGGCATAACCTGACCTAAACAAACTGGTTAGCACTCACGAGGTGTGCAACATAGATAGAAAACACTGAAACAGAAACCAAGTCAGAAATTAAATACCTAAGCGTCATTCTATCTGCTGATCTTTCCTGGTCGTCTTATATCTTGATGATTACTAAGAAAATATTCCGTCTTACCTACTACATCAAGAAGTTAAGATATTCTGGTATGACCCAACCCGTACTCCTACAATTCGTTAACTCTCGCATTCTACCTATTATTCTCTATTGTTCCTCCTTAGTTTCCCTGGGCTACTGAAGAAAGACTATCTTATTACACAGGATGTTAAAGGTTGTCAGCAGGGTAAGCTACATGCCACTTAACCAGCTTGTTAATATTCTGGTTGACAGGCACATGGACTCATGTGAAAAATGGGCGAAATCCATTTTATCTAACTCACACCACTCTCTTCATTCACAACTCTCCCCATGTATCTCTTCAGGGAAAACCAGAAGCCCATATAGGAAACTATATGCCCGCACTAGCAAGTACAAAAGCTCAACCATACCCTACTTAGCTCATGTTCTGTGCGATAAAGAAAGCATTGGGCGTGGAACCTTTAACTTATTAAATAGTCAGTAGAACAAATGGATCTCGTCTTTCCAACTCATATCATTTATAAGTAAAACGTTTTCTTTCTTTTCCTTTTCTCTCTCTTTTTTTCTGTTATGTGTTGCTTTGTTTCTTTCTTCTGCTTACGAGAGTAAATATGCTAGCATCTAATTTTCTAACACCTTCAAACACTCTGTTCAATATTTGGCTTCGCTACCGGCATGCCAATATGTTGTTGTCATAATGAACTGATATTTCCTTAATCTATGTAGAATTTTATTTTTATTGATAATGTACTAACTGGATGCAATACTGTACTAAAATGCTGAGAATTCCATTCTATATCACAAGTACTGTTTTGGAATAAAGCAAGTTATTATCAATAAGAATGAAATGCTACTGCAATGGACACACGTGAACATGGAAGAAGAAGCAATAATTATTCAATCGTGGTTATGTAGAAATGATCGAAACTTCGAAGGGGATAAGAAGTGGAGAAGTTTTCAGAAATGAGGATGGTTTTTTGAATAGATCATTAAAAGCCCCCAGGTGTCTATCCTGAACATTTTTAAAACCCATACTAATCAATCTACATTTTTCATCATGACATTCACCAAACAATAAGAAGATGTAATTTATTCGGATTGGGTAATTTTCTTACCCAACATAAGACGTGACCAGTAGGATGCAGCAGGTTGGATGTGAGGACGAATACTCGCCGAAGAAATCGGTTAGCGGTTGCGCTATATCGTGAATTGGCAGAAGTTAGAATTCATGGGCCATTGGATCAGGTCCCAATGGCTTAATGGCATACGAGCACGCCTTGTAACCAGAAGGTCCTGGGTTCGAACCCCGGTGGGTGTGTACTGATGAAGAGTCCAAAACTAGGACGAAACAGCTGTCCAGTACTCCCTGGTGGTTTTCCAATGGTTCTCTAGCTGATGTCAGCTCATGATGAAATCCTGTAAACAATCAACCAAATCCCTACAAACCAATATTTGAATATTTAGAACAATCTGATCACACACACGTGCTTGTCACAGGCACTGTTCTCGAAAACAATAAAGTGTTACAGGGCGATAGAATAGACACGTAGGTTAAGTTAAAAGGCTATATTGAAGGCCAAAATAACAACAGACATTAGTAAACTAAAATTAGGGTTAATCATAAATCAATCTTGGTATTAAAAACAAAACTTATTGGGAAAGGTTTGATGTAATGACAAATCGTTTGTGAACACATAAAGCTGGCTTATAATTTCAAATTGCTACAGCCCCAATATGTTTTATAGAGAAGTTTAAAAGATGTAAAAAATGGCAATTTTATGCCCTCTATCCACAGTATGTTCCACAGTTGAAAACCTTGATCGTCTATTTTTACCATAAATAGGTTCCAGGGATTCTCAATCGACTTAAGATCGTGCTTTGAAACCCTTACTTGCGAAGATATACTGACTTCTTCTAAAGTATATGTAAATACGGTAGGATTTGCTATCATTTTTTACGTCTTCTAAGGGCTTGGGAATACACAAACTTCATGTTCTCAGTCATCTGGATCTTCGTTTCATAAAATTATTAACTAGGTGTTCATGAAACCTCTATTCACAATGAAATATTTCACGCAGTTGAATGTTATAGCAAATTAAGAGACTGTTAATAT